ATGTAATGTATTCATTGAGGATTTCAAAACAGATAAGAGAGGGAACCTGGATTCAAGTCAGGAATGAATGCCAGGTGCATGTAGTTATATGAAACTGCCTCTTCTCAGAAAATCTACAAATGTAACTCAAAAATAACCACTTACCTTGGTAAACATTTACAAAAAGAAAGATGCAAAATATATGGTAATGACTTTTTAAATATAACACCTAAAGCATGATTAACAAAAGAAGAAGAAAAGAAATAAGCTGAGTTGCCTTAAAGTATAAAACTTTTGAGTTGCAAAAGACGTTTAGAATGGAAAAGTAGTCCATAGACCTATAGAAAATACTTTCAAAATGCAGACTAATAAAGGGCTGGTGACCAAAGTATACCAAGAACACTTGAGAATCAACAAGGACAAAACAAAACAATCTCATTAAAAACTGGGCAAAATACCCAAGCAGACAACTGACCAAGGGAAACAAATGGACAGCAAACAAGCGTATCAAAAGCCATCAGTGAATTATAGATAAAAGTCATGCAAGAAGTACCAAACCACCTATTAGAAAGCTAAGAACTAAACACTGAAAATGCCAAGTGATGACATGGATGTGGATCCATGAGAACACTCATTCAGAACTGGTTGGGAAGCAGAGTGGCATAGCCAATTTTGAAGACAGCTTGGCATTTTCCTAAGGACATTAAATATACTTTAACATGTAAAGCCATTGTGCTCTCAGTATTTACCAAAATAAGTTGAAAACTTAAGTATACACAAAATTCTTCACATGAGTAATTTCTAGCAATCTTCTTCACAGATATCCAAAATTAGAAACCATTAAGACTTTCTTTAGTAGGTAGAAGAACACGCTGTACACATTCATATGAAGGAATATTAATGAGTGATAAGGAGCAATAAACAATCACAAAGGAGCCTTGAATGCATGTTACTAGTCTACATACATGAACTGCTGGGATAATCAAAATTAGGAAGATAAGAAAAAGGTCAGTGATTCCCAGAGCTCAGGGAGTTAAAATCTAACTAGCCATGTACTTAAAAACTGACTTTTAAACAGGCTATCCATGTGTATAAAACTAGGCCTAAATCCCTCCCCCCCCCACCTTCTCAAAAATCAACTCCAAGTGGATCAAAGATTTTAATTTACGATTTGAAACTTGAAAAATACGTGCAAGCAATACACTCATACACACAAAGTAAAAAATAAACCTTGGAATTAAAACACCTGTGAGTTTATAAAAGAGAAACAAAACATGTGTATGCATGGGCACACACCTTTCACATCACCTGCTCAGAATACCTGATATTTTGACATAGAATTTGGGTTCTAGAAATATGAAGTTGCTTGGAAATTGGCATTACCACAGATGACTGGAGAAATTATATATTTACTGAAGAATTGGACCCAAATAGGTGGTGGAGAGACTAAGAACTAACTTTAAAGAACAAATCGAGGGAAAAGGAGACCAAGTTTGGAGGATTACGCACTCCCCAGGAGAGCTACACTATCACTTGGGGTGCCGGTTTGAGGCGACTGGAGTAACCAAAAATCAAGGAAAGAAATCTAAGTAATGAAAAATGAGCGTCTTTAAAAATACCTGCATCTAAACAGCACTCAGATTCTCGGCCAACTCTCTATGTGTGGAGTTGCCGGGAAGGTGCCAGAGCTGTAGGTTGAGCAGAGTTCAGCAGCTGCCGGCATTTAGAAGGCACTGAGGGTTGAACGGCATCTTCTTTAGTGCAAAGCGTTACTGTAACACCATACCACAAGCCCAGTGGCTTATAGGAAAGAGAAATTTATCTCTCACTGTTCTGGAGGTTAAAGTCCAGGACCAAGGGACTGGCAGATTTAGTATCTAGTGAGGTCCTGCTTTCTGGTCAGCAGACAGCCATTTTCCTGCTGTGGCCTACAGAGAAACTTTCATTATATTTTGGTGATGCTATTGAGCAAGTAAAATAGAATATGTTACTGCTGGAAGGGTTAAAAAACGGTGTGATTGCTTTGGACGAGTAGCAATTTTCCAACTCCATTTCCACCCCAAGAACTACAGAGAAAAACCTAGGGAACATAAAGTTCACTGTTGATTCCTCTCTCTCTTATCTGCCATTAGGAAATCCTGTTAACTCTACTGTCCAAAATATATGGTGATTCTAAGTAATTCCCATCTTTTCTAAGTGATAACCACGGCTACGCCTCTTCTCCTTCTCCCTTGACGCACTATGATGGTATCTGTGGTTGACAATCTCACTAGTCATCTTCCAGGAAAAAGAATTCCACCAAAAAAAAAAAAAAAAAAAATCCAAGTGGCCTGAAAGCAGTGGCATGCCCTCTATTCTCAGCTACTAAAGTGGAAGGATCATTTGACCCCAGCAGTTCAAACTAACCTGAGACTCAGTCTCAAAAAACAAAACAAAACAAAACAAAACAAAACACCCAAAAACCAGAAGGAAAGGTGTGGAGGTGGGGCATGGGGCAGGGCAGGAGGGAAAAAATGAAAGATACACTAAAGCAGGCAGGAGCAATAAACGGCCTCTGGGTTGCCCCGTTCTCCCCTCATCTTAGCAGTTTTGCAAGTAAAGCATGCAGCATTCCCACAAAACACTGTATTGTAAGCATTCCTGACACAATTGTCCAAAGGACAGGAAATGAATATAACCAATGTGTGTATACCATCTCCTTAAACATTAGTTGGTGATGAGGGACAACACTGGTGGGCATTTTTATCATGTCAGGACTTAAAAATGCTTTCTAAGTAAGAAAACTTATACACAGACACTCTTAAATACAAAGTAAAGTAGTAATAGAATTGCAGCAGAGACGGAAGGGTGTGAAGTTCTATGAACCGAATAAGAAAGGGCTGAGGATATGGCTCAGTGGTAGAGTGCTTACCTAGCATACACAAGGCCCTGGGTCAATGCCGACTCAGAGGGAAAAAAAATAAATAACTACAAAGAAAATAAGTTATTAAAGAAACTTTCAGAGATAACTCCATCAAAAGTAAATAGAAATTGGAATTTTTACTTTTTAAATGAAGCTTTTGTTGTGGAGGTAGCTCAGTGGTAGAGTACTTGCCTAAGGCCCTGGGTTTGACTTTCAGCAGCCTTTTTGCGCGCGCACTCATACACACACACACACACACACACACACACACACACACACACACATAAACACACGAGAGAGAGAGAGAGAGAGAGAGAGAGAGAGAGAGAGAGAGAGGCAAAGCTTTATTTTTTTTTATCAGACTAGCACAATCAAAATTAATTGTGATATGACAGGGACTTGAAAAGATTAGTAGTGAGATAGATTGTGACTGAGGAGGTTTCACAGCTATTACAACTCCACTATCCACAACAGCCCAAGGGTGTGTGTGTGTGTGTGTGTGTGTGTGTGTGTGTGTGTGTGTGTGTTCGTGTGTTACTATCTCTACTCATCAGCAGTGGCACCTAAGCATACTACACAGTGGGAAAAGGCAGGTTGTAATAGAGTGTTTCCCTTCTACTTATCCATTTGTATTGATAGGCATTCAAGCATATGATTATACACAAAACATTGAGAATATCTTGTTACAACCATGGTTTCTGTTTTACAGGCGACATCAGACAGGGCTTTTCTACAGTGATAGAATAAATTGTCCAGACACAGAAAACAGAAGCCATCAGACACATGGGTCTTTCCCAACTGGTACATACTCATATCTTTCCATATTGAACTACAGTGAACTGCTCTAGAATGTAGTGCTTTACAGGCCTACAATAGAGTCTTGCAGGTGCGAAGGAACTGAAAATTGATGGCATGCACATTTCAGCAAACATTATTTAGTGAACAGAGAAAAACTGGCCTATTCTCAGAATGCCCCGAGGAAAGACTGACTTGCCTCTTTACCTCCCTGTGGTCCTCCCGAGTTCCACATTCTCACCCAGTTACCCTCAGCGGTCTACAATGAACTACTTAGCTTTGTCTGTTCCTGCCCTGCATGTAAATGGAGACTAGAACAAACAGCCTTCGCAACTATGTACGTAGAAGTACCATATGACTGATGGTGAGAAGTTGAAGCCCATGTAGAATCACGTGAGCCCGAAGTTAAAGACCTTGTGCTCTGAAGCAGCATGCGAGTAAAAGACTACAGAAGAAGGAAGGGAACATTCCAGAAAGTTCTCTGAAAACTCATATATGAGAAAATGCAAATACTATTATCTTGAATATTTTTCAACTGGGATTTCAGAAACGTCCTTGACTGTGTCATTGTCCCCCAAACCATTGATAGATATTTAAATAGTAATACTATCCTCCCCAAATTAATTGATTCTCAAAAGCCATTAAAACTGTGCATGAAAAAGATAAGACACTAATGGAAAAAAATGAAATAAATTGGAAGTGAATAATTTTATTTACATTTCTCTACTTCCAAGTTTCAAGCCAGATAGTTATGCACTTGAGTTTCACTGTTGTTACTATTTGTTGTCCTGAGAAAAATAATAGAGTGAAGACATAAATACTATTAACACATTTGCTTCTCACAAAAGTCCCATGATAGGTAAGTTTTTGTTGTTTCTATTTTTCCAGGTGAGGTATAAACGGGTAAACTGAGGCACGGAGCAGCACCCACATCGCACACCAACATTTTCTTATAAACATTTCTTTCTGAACTAGATGAAATTCAAGAAAATTTTCCCCTTGAAATGAGGGGAATTCTGGGCAACAAAACGTGCACGGGCCCAGGCCAAGGCCATGGCATCATGCTTAACCAAACCTGGGAAGCTACAGCCTGCAAGTCCAGCTGGGCACAACAGCTGTAACCTGCGGTGAGAGCATGCAGAGGTGGACGAAGCCTTTGTTAGGATATCCCCCACCACCACTACCCGCGCCCCGGCTCCCGCAGACGCCAGTGGCCCGGAGCAAGGTCTGCCTGCACCAGCCACCCCGAAGGGACTCCGGTGCCCAAGAGGTCCTGTGGCCGCGATCCCGCGCATGCGTGGCCCCGGGCAGCCTCTGCGCTTACCTGGTGCGCAGGGTGAGGAGGTGCAGGGCCAGGAGCAGCAGGATGGCGATGAAGAGCAGGCCCGGGAGGGTGAGCAGCGTGGTCAAGCCCGCGTCTGGGGTCGCAGCTCCTTTCATCCCGACACGCTGGCGGCTCTGCAGGGAGCGATGGCTTCTGCACGGTGCCCTCTCTTCTCCACCCGAGGCTCTGGCCTGGCCGGCGGCGCCGAACAGAATGTCCCCGCGGTCCCTGAAGCTGAACTACAAAGTTAGTGGAGTCCCCTCCCCCGCCCCCCCCCCCCCCGCCGCCTCCCCCTGACCCAAGCGCACCGCCTCGCGCCGCCTCCCGCTCCAGTGGCAGGAACCCTGCCAAGGGAGAGGGAAAGGATTAGGATTTCCCCAGATGGATCCGTGGAGGCCTGGAGGAGGGGGGTTTCGTTTCTGAGTCAGCAGTGAACCCACAGGAAGGACCCTGCCTGACGCCTCTCCCACCCACCATGCTTGGAACTTGGCCCGGTGGCGCAGGTCTTCCTAAACTGCTGGCACATAGCACGGGATGTGCTCCCCACTTCCTTCATCACCAACATCCTATTGTGCTTAGATTGAGGTCCAGGGCATAATATGTGCTCACACCACAGACTGGGCTAAGGAGGCCAGGCCATCTTCCAGAAGGATTACTGAGGTGCACAGCTCAGAAAGAAGCCACAGGTAAAAATCAGCAGTAGACCACAAGCCAAGGTGTACAGCACGTTGTACAGGCAGAGAAGGAAGACACTTGGAAAGTATCTTCTCATGGGGGCTGGGGTGATGGTTCAGTAGATACAGGCTTGTGGCTGTCAAACCCTGCCTCAACAAAGTGAGACCTGTTGAGAAAGAGACCTGATTTTTAACTACACAAGAACCCATACCAAACACAAGTAGACACACCCCCACTACCACCACACACGCATAGCGTTTTTCCTGAGTAATGACTACCCAGCAGACAGTTTATGTGTCTACTCCCAAAACCTACAATTAAGTTTCAGCAGTAGTTCATAGAAAATATCAGGATATTCAAGTTGTCCTGTGGACTCAGTTGGTGAGTATTTTCCCTTCTAACTAAATCTTATTCTAAATCTTCATTATCTTTTCCACTAGGCAAGACAGTTTACACCCTCACCCCATCCCTGAACAATTATTACTAACAGCTTCAAAATTGGTTTCCAGGCCTCTCACCTTTCTACACAGATCTGCTTTTACCCTGTCCCAGACTCTGAAAATGATAAGTACTGCATGTACAATGAGAAGTGTCAGTGCCAAAGATGCAAAGAGAAAGATCACCAACCCAAACCATCATGGCCAAGTTAGTTCATGCAAGCTTTTCTATCCGAATGCAGGGGCTGCCTCCCTTTAGGGTGGGGTTTGAGAGGTCATCATTGGACATGAGGAAGACAAAATTTTTATAGGGCAGGGCAGGGGGGGTTCCAAATGGAGGGTTGTAGAAGCAGAACATAACAAGGTGGTCCTAATAAGATAGTCCGAACAAGGTAATCATAACCTTTTGAAAGAATTGAGTAGCAAGATGGTCATTACAACTTTTTGAAACAAATACATGATTGCAAGGTGGTCATAACAACAGGTGTCATATAATCTTTTGAAACAAAGGCCTGGTTGCTACTTCCTGGAACGGGCAGTACAGAGCCATTCGTACTTAAGGTTACAGGTGGGGCACAGCCCAATCCTTGAGAAACAGAGATTAAATCATAAACAGAAATGAACCCAGTTTGTCTTTACTACAAGATGGATTTCAAGCCTAAGATGGAGGCAGGCTAGTTCATCAGAAGCCCTCCACAATTTGTCTCTTTGACACCAAGTCACCTTGCTCTATGGCAGTTCCCATGAAACTCATGCCTGAGCCGTTTTGTACTCCACATCCCACCCACACGCTCCTATGATTAAGAGTTCCTTCTGCCTGAAAACAAAAAGTGCTCTCTCCTCTAAATGCTCACATTATCCTTACCTATCAAGGTCCAGCTCTAATTCCACTGCTTAAGGTTTTTGTTGTTGCTATTGTTGTTTGTTGTTTGTTTGTTTCTGTTTCATTTTCTGAGACTATGTCTTAGGATGCAACTCATGTTTGCTTGGGACTCCCTATATAGACCAGCCTAGCCCCAAACTAGTGGTGATCCTTCTGTCTCTGCTTCCTGAGTGCTGAGATTACAGGTGTTTGCCTCATTTAAATCCTGCTCTCCTCATAAAATTATCCAAAATTCTCCTTTTGTTGTGACTCTTTCCTTCTAGTCCACTGTTGCCACTTTCATCCCATCAGATTCATTTTCCATTACATCTGCTATTTCTACGTCTGTTTCTCCTTCTAGAATAGGTGCATACTGTGCCTGAAGCAAAAGAATCATTTTAGCACAATTACACACATCAAGGAATAAAATAGATACCAAATATTGCTTTCAGTATTATTCGCTGTCTTTTCACAATTCACATTTTAACTGGAGAATCTGTTTTTTTGTTTGTTAAACCTGAAAAAACTGGTTTAATTCCAATGTGGACTTATACTGCAAAGAGCTATGAGAACTGTGTAATTATGACTACCTACCGGTTCCCTTCAGAAGTCAGCCACAGTTGTTTCAACATTGGATTTCAGCAATATCTTGTGTACTTTGGATGCTCTAATTGGACCACAATCAATAATCAAATCTAAAGGAGCCATCATGGCTTAGCTTTAAGACCAGAGGCCTCCAAAAACAGAAGTGTCTTCAGAGTTAGATGACAAACCATATCTTATCAGACCATTTTCTTTGAGAACAGATATTTTCACACCAATGAGGGGGTGGGGACAAGGAGAAGAAAAAAAAAACCTGAAGTAAAAGCAGAGTCAAGAGAAAGGGCAATACACTTGAGTCTCAGAAGAGCCATGGATATCAGGATGCTCTTCAGGTCACCCTTATCTATCACATGACTGTAACGGTACCGGTACCATAGTTTAGATGTGGTTGACCATGAGGGACCCTTGTGCTAGAGACTTAGTCTTCAGTGTGATGGTTGGATCTTTGAGAAATGGGGCATTGTGAGCTTGTGGGAAATGTAAGCAAAATGTACTGTCTTTTCTATGAAAGGGTTAAAGTAAACAAAACTATTGAAAAACTGTATATGGACTCAATATGTTTGTATTTATATTCTCTGTGTGTGTGTGTGTGTGTGTGTGTGTGTGTGTGTGTGTGTGTGTGTGTGTGTATGTGGTGTATGTGCAATCACTGGGGTTGCATAAGACACACACATGTCTATACAATTATATATACAAAACAATATTGTTTCTATAAACAATTGTATATATGTATGATACACACACACACACACACACACACACACACACACACACACACACACATACACACACATACATAGAAAACAATCCATGAAAACGAGGCTTTCAATTTGAGAGAGGGTGGTGGACATGAGAGGGGTTGGAGGGAGGGGACAGAGGGAGGTAAGGGACAGGAGAAAGTGATGTAATTTTATTTTATTTTAAAATGTAAAAACAAGAGCTGGGCGGTGGTGGCGCACGCCTTTAATCCCAGCACTCGGGAGGCAGAGCCAGGCGGATCTCTGTGAGTTCAAGGCCAGCCTGGGCTACCAAGTGAATTCCAGGAAAGGCGCAAAGCTACACAGAGAAACCCTGTCTCGAAAAAACCAAAAAAAAAAAAAACCAAAAAAAAAAACAAAAAAAAAAAAATGTAAAAACAAAAACAAAAACAAACAAACAAAAAGCCCTTAGCAGAAATACTTCCAGAGTCAGCACTCTTGAGTAAAAAAAATACATTTAAGGCATACTTTCTAGTAAACATTGCATTATGCTTATCAGCTCTGTCGCTGTCGCCACTCTGGTAAGACTGTGAGGTCACTTCTGACCACTCAGAAGAAGGCACAGGTGCCTCTGGTTGGTAATAAAATCCCAGTAGGACCCCATTCCCACTCCAAACCGGGTGTGCTTGCCTTTCTGATTTGGTGTTTTAATTCTTTAATTGGTAGAAAAAAATGAACCTCATCAAGACCCCTAAGCTGTAACAACGCCATCTGTAGTTGGGCCTCTACTAGAGGTCAGCCGATGTGGGTAACCTAGCTTTGACTTCCAGCCTCTAAAATTGATCTAAACAATTTTTTTCTTAACAAAAGATCTAACTCAGGTTATTTTGTTTTACCAACAAAAGTGGACAAATACAGGTGGCCAATACTTTCTCTGTTTCTGTGCTAGTGGTTGAGTTTGGGGTCAGATGGTCTAATAAGAAACCAATTTCTATCCCCTTTGCTCTCTTTCAAACGTGGTATTAAGGCTGAAATTCTGACCCTCCTTTCCTTCAGAGCTTCTCTTTTGATTCTCAGGGGAAATGAGTAACGGTTGTTCCCCCCTACTTTTCAACTTAGTGTTTCTAATTCTCCTGTTCAGACTCAGATTCTATTACACTGGACTAAGCCTACCTCTATAGGTAATTTCTTAAGTGTAAGCCAGGTCCACGGACTACATTTGGTTTGTGGGATCTATAAAACATAAATACAGTGTCTTCTTTCAAAGAAGATGACATGAAGTGAACAGAAATTAATATTAAATAAAAGTAAGAAAAGAAATTAGTCAACATGCGATTGTGGAGTAATAATGGGGGAATTTAATAGCATGCACCCACATGCTTTCAATCATTTGAGTTTTCCCCCAAGCAGATGATGTGGTTGGGATCTGGTACATGACATATTCAGGAACAATGTGGGAACCTAGTGCAGTGGAAACTCCCTGGAATCTACATAAGTGACCCTAGCAAAGACTCCTCGTAATGGGGGATACAGAGACTGAACTGGCCATCCTCTGTAACCAGGCAAGGATTCCAGTGGAGAGACTGGGACACCAACCCAGCCACAAAACATTCGACTTACTATTTATCCTGTCTGCAAGATGTGCTGGGGTAATAGTGGCACAGAGCTTATGGGAGTGGCCAACCAATGACTGGTCCAACTTAAGACCCATACCAGGAGAGGGAGTCCATGCCTGACACTGTATAGAAGGCCAGAAACCAGATGCAGGACAGCAAAGAGACGCCAACATTTCTGTGGGGAGAGAGGAATTCAATGAAATGATTCCTAATGATACTCTGCTGTACTTGTGGGCCAGAGCCTAGCATAATCATCATCAGAGAGGCTTCATCTGACAACTCTTGGGAGCAGATTCAGAGACCCACAGCCAAACATTAGGCTGAGGTCAAGGAACCCTGCAGAAGAGGGGGAGGAAGGATTGTAGGAGCTAGAGGGGTCAGGACACCAGGAGAACACAACTCAGAGAATCAACTAAGCAGGACTCATAGGGGCTCACAGAGACTCATACAGGCTCATGGAGCCTGTATGGGTCTGAGCTAGGTCCTCTGTATACATGTTATGGTTGTGTAGCCTAGTGTTCTTACGGAACTCCTAACAGTGGGAGTTGGGACTGTCTCTGGTTCTTTTGACTTTCCTTGGGACCCTTTTCCTCCTACTGGGTTGCTTCTCTCAGCCTTGATATGAGGTTTGTGACTAGTCTTATTGTAATTTGTTATGCAGTATTCAGTTGATATTCCTAGAAAGCCTGCTCTTTTCTGAAGGGAAACAGGAGGAGTGGATCTGACAGATGGGGCTGGGAGGAGAAGAGTGTAGTAGGAGCTATTTGAGCCATGCTGTGAAGCACTGCCCCTAGTGAGGTAGCAGGTAATTGATACACCTGCCTATGACCTTAAGGTACATGCCCTTGGGGTTTAGCCACTTGGGGACCCTTAAGACCTAGAGTGCCCTTAAGCAGCTCTCTCTCTTTGCTACCTCATGGTTTTGGATGCTGGGACAGACCAAGGCAGAGCTCTCCAGAGAACAGCGTTGGACTGTGCCTCACCTTTCCAGGATCCTGCCACAAATTTCTTTATTCTGTTTTATGAGTTAGCCCCCAAATAAATTCCTTTGATCAATGAGCAGACTCCTTGGATTGATAGCAATATAATCCCAATAGAAGAGAAGAATTTAAAAAAAGAAAGAAAGAAGAGAAAAGAAAGGGAGAAACATTTAAAGGCACCACCATGGGAAACGTCCAAGAGGCATTCCACCCTTTCTTTTCCTGACGTAATAAAGCATCTAAAATCAGGGTTGAATAGTAAGCCTAAAAAGCCCTATCATCTTTTGACATAAAATGTAGCCTGAGTTCCAAATTACAAAGTATGACTTTCTGTGATTTTTTTTCTCCTCTTCCTTTCTCTTCTTCCTGAAGTAACTCTGATTTCCTGTTTCCTGTTAGAATCAAGACCATGACTGGATAAACTTGTCAAGAAGAGGAAAAAGAAGAAGAAAAGATGGGTTACCTGTTTCACATACACTGCTTCATCTGCTTCTCAAAGCTCTGGTTTAGGTACTGTTATCACAAGCTGCTTATCTGAAATGGTTGGTTGAGACAGAGGTGTTTTGGAGTTTGAACTTTTTCAGGTTTTGTAATATTTGCATTGTGAAGTAAGCTGTCTAGGGAGTTACTTTAGGATATGTATATGTGTATCCACATATTCTAAGGGTAACTTCACAAGCCATCACAGTATTTTTAGTACACCTACCTTAATTTCTTTATTATTATTATTATTTTGAGACTGATGTTGACACTTGATCCTCCAATGCACCTAAATTTTGGTTGTGACTTCTCACCTGAGGGCAAATGTAGAATTTTCCATTGTGACAATCATTAGTTGCTATGGATGATTGATTGATAAATAAAACACTGATTGGCCAGTAGGCAGACAGGAAGTATAGGCGGGACAAAGAGAGAGGAGAGGTCTGGGAAGTGGAAGGCTGAGGCAGAGAGACACTGCCAGCCACCTCCATGAGAAGATGTTAAGATACCGGTAAGCCACAAGCCATGTGTCAACTTATAGATTTATAGAAATGGGTTGATTTAAGATATAAGAACAGCTAGCTAGAAGCCTGAGCCATTAGGCCAATCAGTTTAAACAATATAAGCGTCTGTGTGTTTATTTTATAAGTGGGCTGCAGGACTGAGGGGGGTTGGCGGGACCCAGAGGGAAGCTCTCCAGCTGCAATCAGTGTTCAAAATTTTCAATTTTCAACTTTTTTCATATTGAGAATATCCAATGTAAATTCTCTTCTACATAAAAGAAAATCAAGACTAGGAGTTTCAGGACACCCATGCTTATTCAGCTTGTGTTTCCAAATGTGAAGTTACCTGTCTATGACTTTCCCATCCTATCCTCACAACTTTCACAAATGCTTAGCTAAATTTATCCAGTCACTCTTGCCTCTGTTTGTATGGGTCCAGTTTTTACCTTGTGTTGTTCATAACTGAGACAGCCTGTGGAGAACCTGAGCTTCTGTTTTCCAGGCTGGCTTTCCTTGGCCTTTAGGAAGCTGTGAGCCTAATCTGACCTTTTTTATTCTGAAAACAAAAGGGGTGTGAAGCTACTCTTCCTAGTGGGTATATGAAAATTAACCTGTGATGGGTAACTTGTAACAGTTTAAATGATGGAGTTTGTCCTGTTTTCAGAATCAAGCATTTTCTGCTGCATTGAACAAGGGTAAAAACAAGTTCTCCAGATGTGGTTGTCTCAGCTGAGGTGTCAGTACTTTGACTTACTACGTTTGTCCCATGAAATGTAAATTATTCTTTCCTGAAGATTCTTACCTCAGCTGAGTTAGCCACAACCATGTAAAATATGACTGCTAAGCCCAAATGTTGTTACATAGCAAACCACCGGTGAGACACTGAAAATGCATAAACTGAACCTGACTAAAAATGTCTTAAATTACAGTACCACCGTTTGTCCTGTCATTTAGAACTTAGATAATATCATTTATTTCCTTAGGTTTTGTTCTCTTTTCTCCTATAGAGCAAGACTTTATAAACTGAGTGTTCGGTTTAGGCAGAGCACATATAGACAGTATAGGCAGGAATCTTCATTAAATATGATGTTGGCTGGCTGTGATGGTGTACACCAGGCCTTGGGAGGCAGAGGCTGGAAGATTTGGAGTTCAAGACAAGGCTGAGATGCAAACTGAGTTCTTGTCTCTAAATAAGTTAATGATGTAACAAGTCAAGGACTGATGGACAAGCAAGGTGACACAGCAATGTAGTTCAATGTAAACCTCTTTTGTGAAGATGAAGTACAAGTCTAGTAAGTCCTGAGTATATTATTTTGCAACAGCTTTAAAAATGGTGGAACAGATGGCTCTGATTATCTCCAAAGGAAGGGAAGGCTTGGAGAGCTTTTGCTTCTTGTTTAACCATTTGGCATGAACTGTACACTGTTGAGTTTTGAATACTCTGGTTTATAAAATCATAATCGCGGGCTAACCGTTCATTCTCACGATCTGACCCAACTTCCCGTGCCAAGTCCTGCAATTCATACTCTTTGTCCCTGGCTTACACTGGATTTCCCAACATTTCATGTCCCAATTACTCTCTGAACCTGGATTTCTGAACAGTGAGAGTATGAAGCTCACCCTACGCATTTCTTTCAGTGAGAACCGCTCCCTTTAATCCTGTTCCCTGTCTACCTCTGTTCACTAATGGAACATTTTATAGGTTGCAAATATTTTATTTGGATTGGGCTGAACTGATTCTCTGAAAAGTGTTAACCTAAGTAATATACAAAGGCTTTGTACAGATAATTAAGTTTATTGGAGAATATCAGAGCATTACAAGATGAGTCCACATGTCATAGTAAACTATGCTGAGGAGCATTAAATAAAATACTATAAATAATAATCTTTGGCTATGATTAAAACCAAGGTGATGTCATGCCAAGATTACACAGTTGTATAGTCATTCTTTCAGAAGCATGTGTGTGTGTCTCTGAGAGTTAGAGGTTTTTTTGAGTTGTTCCTCTTACAAAGCAACCACACTTCAAGGAACTTAGTGAACTCACATAACTACTGATGTGTATGTTAGAATGCTACCCTCCTGCAGAATTCCTTAAATTTATATTTTAGTTAGGATATTTATTGCGGTGATAAAACACCATGACCAAAAGCAACTTGGGGCATGGAGGAGTGTAATTTCACTTAAACTTCCAGGTAACAGCTCATCACTGAGGTAAATCAGGCAGAACTCAAGGCAGGGTAGGAACCTGGAGGCAGGAGCTGATACAGAAGCCAAGGAAGGGTGCTGCTTACCGGCTTGCTCCATGTGGCTTACTCAGCCTGTTTTCTTATAGCACCCAGGACCGACAGCCCACAGTGATCTGGCTCTACTTCATTAATCATCAATCAAGTAAAGGCACCACAAGTTTCCCCACAGGGCATTCTGTTAGGGACATTTTTTTCAGCTGAATTCTTCTCTTCCAAAATGACTCCAGCTTTTGTCAACTTGACATTAAAGTAACCAGCATACTTTCTGCATCATTTAATTTAGGATTTAATAAAAAAGTGGTTTCATTTTAATTCTGAGAACTTTCACAGGTACTTCTCAAAGAATCCTCAACATTTCATATACACTAGTTCTCTTGGACCATCTGTGTGTAGGATTATTTATCCCTAACACAGTTCAGCCTCTCTGGTTCTCCTCTTCTACCAGATTTGCCTCTTCAAATACCATATTTCTCCTGGCTTTGAAATAAAGAACAATTCAGCTCATATCTTTTTTTGATCCAGTAATTGGCATCTCTTATGACAAGTAGCTATCAATAATTTCTTCTGAAAAAGCATCATAGAATATTTTTAAAATATAATCATAGGAATGGTAATCATATAAGCAACAATTTGAAGTCTTTTAAAGAAATGGCATTCATCATTTTCTCTTTCATAAATGTAAATAGATGCTAAGAAAATAAGGAAGAATGGAATCCTCTCATGTCTGCTCTTAAAGATGCTGTGACTGGCCGGGCGGTGGTGGCGCACGCCTTTAATCCCAGCACTCGGGAGGCAGAGGCAGGTGGATCTCTGTGAGTTCGAGGCCAGCCTGGGCTACCAAGCGAGTTCCAGGAAAGGCGCAAAGCTACACAGAGAAACCCTGTCTCGAAAAACCAAAAAAAAAAAAAAAAAAAAAAAAAAAAAAAAAAAAAAAGATGCTGTGACTGGCTAATCGGAGCCTTTAGGAATAACAGGTGTCATTCAGTGTGTGTCTTTCCTGCATTTATCAAGAACTGTATTTCTAGGCTTCATGTGTCTTTTCCTCACTTTGCTTTTCCTATAACTATTCCTGTTCTCAGCTGAGACACGTAAAAAGTCTTAACTGAGGCTGAGCAGAATTCCTCTTCCCTCCTTTTAGGTGTTCCTGGACCTCCAGATGTTTCCTTCTATCTCTGTTTCTTTGTTTTATTTCCCCTTCTTTGATTCCGAAGCATCTGGAAATCAATTCCATGTCTGGCTTCTCAGAGACAGTCCCAGAAAACTCAAGCCCTCCAGTCCTTAAGTGCCTGCATGTCCTGAACTACTCACATCCCATTGGCCACTTGCAGTGCAGTCATTGATCAGGCAGTCCATGCCAGAATGCAGATTATATTACTATGGATTTACTTTAGGTAACAATGACTATATCACCAGCAGAAGAAGAAATTTATTGTGGGAATTGTACTGTAGGAGCTGAGGAAATGAAGACAGGAAGGGAAATCTGAAAGATCAGAGAAAGAAACATAGCTAGTAGGCATGTTGTAGTGACCTATGGAGAAATTGTGAGGCTGGGCATATCCAGTAGCTAAGCTAGGCTGGGAAGGGGCAAACTGGCAAGAGTTATGGGAGGTCTGTGCACTTGAGGCTAAGTGAAAGGTAGAGGTTTGGGGGAGCTGTGCATCAGCTGACCAACAGACAAGCTAGACATGATGGGCAGATGGAAAACTAGTGTGATGGCTAGTTTTGTGTCAATTTGATACAAGTTAAAGTGATTTAGGAAAAAGAAAATTCAATTGAGATTGCACCCACTAGATTGTCCTGTGTCCAAGACTGTGGTGTATTTTCTTGATTGGTGATTAATACGGGAGGGCCCAGATCACTGTGGGTGGTGCCTCCCCTGGGCTGGTGGTCCTGGGTTATGCTATAAAGAAAGAAGGCTGAGCAAGCCATAAGGAGCAAGCCAGTAAGCAGTACTCTTCAATGGCCTCAGCATCCGTTCCTGCCTCTAGGTTCCTGCCTTGCATTCCTGCCCTGACTTTTCAGGAAGATGGATTACAAACTGTATAAACCCTTTCCTCCCAAGACGATTTTTGTCATTGTATTTTATCACAATAGAAGCCTTAACTAAAACACTGGGCAAGTCAAGCCACAGAGAGGAGTATAGGTTAAAGCAGACAATCTTCCAGTTCCATCACTGGCATCATTAATTAGTTCCATGAACTTGCATTTATCTAGCTATAAATATAGTTGAAATACTCATATTTGCATATCTCCCATTTTTTTCAAAAGATCCACACTCAT